TGAACAAAGCAATAAAGACATAGTAGTACAAATAAAAAATGTAAAATATGACTTTGAGAAAAAATGTAAAATATGACTTTGAGTTGACCTAAAGAGGATATGGGATATGGACAATAAATAAAATATTTCTGAAACTAAGGAATAAATCTCGCTCTGGGAATTCTCAGGGAGGGGAAAAAGCATTCATAAAAATCCACTCCTCTCTGAGCTGCAGCCCTGAACCTCCCATGCACTAGATGGGAGACACTGATAAATCTAGGAGGCCAAACGTGCCAACCAGCTCATATGTTTTCAGTGAACAATGACAGGGAGCCAAATTGCTTTATTCCGATTAGTGAAAGTCCTCTGACTGCAAAATACACTGTGTGAAAAAAATATTGAGTTTTAGTTTGCTGACACATCAATTTAAGAGAATTATTGCTCTCACATAGAGGCCAAAGCATGTACCTCCCTTCATGTATGTGCAGAAAAAACTAATTGCCAACTTTTATATAGGGGAAAAAGGGGAGGGAGGGATGGCAACGGTATCTTTCAGACCTGTGGCAGCATGTTCTGACTCTCACGTGTTATCTCAGTGGTAAACTACTGGCGTTTTATTTTATTCCCATGGACAAAACAAGCTCTCCGTAAATAGCATAAGCATGACACACATTTTTTTAGCTGCCTTTTCTCTAGAGAAGTTTCCAGAAAGCTGTTTCATCCAGCTTCTGAGCCATAACGTCTCACAGATGGCAAAAGAGACCACTGATGAAATCCATGACTAGACTGTCTCCCGCTGCGGCTTAAATCTTGCTTTCCTTTCAGAATTAATTAGGGGGCAGTGGGGGAAGCTGGATGCCAAGGTGCTTGGGGTATGTTGCCATTTCAGTGCCTCGTCCAGGTGGTTTTTAAGCCCTGTCATGTGCTGGAGCTGATTCAATTATGCTATTTCCTGATTTGCCATGATGCTCCCCTCACTCAGAGAAAGGGGGGCTGCGAGTCCTACGCACGCTAATACCACTCAGACAATAGGCATGCAAAATTGATGTTCATGCAATATCTTTAAGTCTCCGGAGATTTGTATTTTAGCTATTGCACGAAATGCTTCGCTTCTATTGCCTTTCTCATTCACCTCTGTTTCCCAGCTCACTGTCTCATCTTCCATGTTGGCTGGGGCTCCTGACTGCTGCAGGTTCCTTCATTGCATATTCAGGAGATCTACTGGTGCAAAGCAACTCATTTTCACCACCTGAAATTCACACCGTGAAGGCAGAAATAATCAAATATTTTGAAAAAAACTGGTGAAGCGAAACACTGCACATTAATTATTATGATAGTTATAGGATAATTATTAATTATGCTTTCCAGCAATTCCTCCCTAGTATTTCGTTGAAATCTTCAGCTCGACACAGAAATTTGTATAAACTCTTCAAAAGCAGCATTTTACAATGAAACTATATAGTTTCCTCCTGGTTCTGCTGGAAGGTTTTTCTCTGCAATAAAATAAGGACTAGCCCTCCCTAGGATCAGAAAATAAGAATTTACACGGCTTACTACTCTGGTGCTACCTGTGCCAAAACCAGAAGAAGAAAGAAGAAACAAAAATGGGTTTTTCTAATCCCAGCTTTCTCTTATCCCCAGTCATTTTGCCACTTCTCCATTTTCTCACAGTGGACTGCCTTTGATTTGCTTTCACATGAAGGCCTAGCTGAAAGACAACTGTAAGAACAAAGAGGCCCAAACAGGAGAGGAGACTCTGGGGAGGTACCAGCCATGAGGATGAGGTGATGGCTTGGACCCGGCAGGGGAGACAAGAGGGTTGAGGAGGCTGAGGGCAGGGCAGTGTTGTGCACAGTCAATAGGCAAATGAGAGGCAATGGCAGAGAAGAGGGATGGAAATAAATGGGATATGAAAAGCAAGGAAAGGTGAGGGTAAGGACGTGGAGTCATGGGGTGTCTTATTGCCTAGCCAAAGGGAAGAAACCGAGAGAAGCAGGATGACCTGCCTGCATGAAGGAACAGCCATGCCAAGTGGAGCTCTTTCTGTGACTGCCAAGGCTGAGCCCTGGTCCATAGGGCTTGGTTAGATGTCCCTGCTGAAGGGCAGTAAGATCCAGGAAGGAAGTATGAAAATGACTTTAGGAAACATCTTACACCTTTCCGATGTATTTGAAAAGGGATGTGGGACACATACCCTCACAGCACACTTCTCATGGCTGGGGAAGCATGAGGGTTCCTCTAGACCACCCTGTGATTCTGCCCTTGTGCCCAGGGTTGCCAGGCCAAGTGCTTCCTTCTGTGGGGTCAGTCTAAAGACACGGGTCTCAAACTGTGGGCAGGTCACTCAGGAGAGCAGGCACAGAGCTGACGATAGAGAGAGAAGTGGAAAAGTGCTGTGGAAATGCTACCAGGCCTTCACCTCTGTTCTTCTGGGTCTCCCAACTCCAGCAGCTGTTTGCTTTATGCTACTAGAAGACAGAGAAGAGCAGGACCAAAGGCTCAATAGGGGTGGAGATGTGCCTTCCTTGTGAGGGCTGGCTCACACTCCTCATCTGATGAGCTATGGCAAGCATGTCTGCATTTCATTTCCCCTGGGGAAAGCCCAGCCTTGCTGGCTAGGATGCGAGTGAGAGGGAACAGGGCCCCAGGACACCCAGGAGATAGAAGCCATGGATGTATGTCAGTGTGACAAGGAGCTGGGGAGGCAAACAGGAGGGGATGAGCAGGCAGGAGGCAGAGACAGGGTACAAAAACCTGCCACTGGGGAGATTTGTGGGACAGCTCTGAACAGGGTTAGGGTTGACATTGCTGGACTTCAGGATGCAGCAATACTTCAGCTGGGTACTAGACAACATGGGTTGTTCTGCATAGGGGAAACTGGAAGGAGCTGGAAGCAGGCAGGCAAGTGTTTGGGATAGACCAATGCATATTAGAAATGCATGCATGGGAGGAAGCCAAAGTACTGCAGGATTTAAAAAAAAAAAAAAAAAAAAAAAGTAAAAAGAATATTTAGGTTGTTTTAGAGCCACTACTTGACATAGCTGAACAGCATTCAAACATTCAGAACCTTAACAGCACTAACAGAAATGGAAATTTCTTAATGACAGCGTTTCCTACACAGTCCTTTACCATATAAGAGATGCATAACGGGAGCTGGGCAATCTCATGGAGATTAACTGCTCAAAATAAAAAATTAACCCCACAACACTTCTGCACAGCACTGGCTGCTGCCTTAGCTCCCCATCCTCTGGCAGCTTCCCAAACGCACAAGTTCATACCGTGAATGCTGAATTGGAAAAGCTGGAGGGCAGAGCTCTCGTGAAAACCACAGGGGGAGAGCATACATGAAGAAAAAGCTTTCTGCATGACAGGATTTAAGCTGGAAGGTACTTCTACTGGGGAAATAGTCCCACACACCAAGGCTGAGCTAGGGAAAAAATGACCTCGCTATAGTGTTGATTAAACCTACTGTAATCCAAAGAAGCAGTGATTTGCTACTTAATTGTAGCCATTCACAAAAGGAAAGAAAAAGAAAAAAGGAAACAGTAAGAGAGTATTTCCCCACTTTTTAAATTTTTGTTCGTGGTGACTTATTACTCATGCAGGGTGTAGGTATTTATTAAAATAATAGATAGATACCTACCTCCAGGTACAGAATTGGGCATGCTGCAAAATATGTAAACAAATTAAAGCTGGGCCCAGTGCCCAGATAAGAAAGCTCACCAAACCCAAACAAGCCAACCGCAAAAGCTCAGTTCTTAGCAAAAGAGAAGAGTCCCAAAATAATGTATGAGGTATGAGAGTAAAAAGCTGTAATGCTTTTTTACCTGACTGGAAATGCCTGATTAGTAGCATTACATCAGCCTGTGTGTCAAGGCTTTCTTATGATAAGCGCTGTACAACTATAATAGCGTGAGATGGCTCTTGCTGCCTACAAAGAAGAGGCAGTCAAGTCATGGGAGAGGAATCTGAGATTTAAAGAAGGTATGGGATTTGGCGCAAGTTGCGCACAGAGCCAGGATCAACTACATACTGCTTTCCTCCCAGTCCTGAATTCAGAGAACACATCACTGCTGAGATTCATGGCTTGTCTCCTGAAATCCAGCATGGTATATTAAATGTAAGCCTGACCTTCCTCCTATGACCTCATACCGTTCCTTCAAAGTCAGCGAAAGGAAATTCAGGGCTGAAGTCTGAAGCTGTTAAGGATGGGGTTGGGAAGAGATGAGAAAAAAAACACCTGTGCAAGAGATTTCTAGTTTGAGAAAAATCATTCAGGACAGAAAGCAAGGACGATTCTGTATCTGTCTCATTTGCCTTGGAAGGACATGACAAAGCAGCAGTCACTCAACAGCCACAGGCCTGGATAATTAAAACCTTTATAAAATATGAGGCAAAGGAGTAAACAGTCCTTCCATGGTGCTGTGTTTTAACCACAACCCGCAGCTCAGCCCCACACAGCTGCTCACTCACTCCCCTCGTGTTGGGGTCAGGAAAAGAATCAGAAAAGTGAGAGAACTCGTGGGCTGAGATAAAGACTCCTTAATAGGTAAAGCAAAAGCTGTGCACACAAGCAAAGCAAAATGAGAAATTCAAAGCAAAACGAGAAATTCATTCATTGCCTCCCATCAGTAAGGCAGGTGTTTAGCCAACTCCAGGAAAGCAGGGCTCCAACACATGTAATGGTGACTTGGGAAGACAAACACCTTCACTCCGAACATCCCCCCCCATGCTGCCTTCTTCCCCTAGTTTATACGATTATCATAAACCCATATATTATGGGATATCCCTTGATCATTTGGGTCAGCTGTCCTGGCTTTGTCCCCTCCCAATTCCTTGTGCACCCCCAGCCTACTCTCTAGTGGGGTGGTGTGAGGAGCAGAAAAGAGCTTGGCTCTGTGTAATCACTGCTCAGCAGCAGCTAAACCATCCCTGTATTACCAACACTGTTCTCAGCACAAACCCAAAACATGGCTTCATACCAGCTACTATAGGGAAAATTAACTCTGTTCCAGCCCAAACCAGCCTGCACGGCATACTGAATTCAAATGCCCCTTTCCCACTTGCACCTCAGGGTTGTAGGTTTTTCTCAGAGCATCTTGAACAGATAATCAGAGCATGCTGACATTCAGCAGTAATCAATTAGCGCCTACTTTAGATTAAATTGAGAATATGTAAATTAGGCTCCTCATCAGGCACCACAGTCAACATTTCAGAGACACTCACTGTGCTCTGAACATATCAAACAGATGAAACGCAGAAGTTGTTCCAAATCCTGCTCCAAAATGGGAGGCCAGGTGGGCTATACCAACCGTTTAAGATTACTTTTTTCTGGTTTTGTTTCTGACCTTTTTGTCATATATAATATGACATATATATAATGTTACTTACACATGTAATATGATAAAATGCACCACTTAGAAATTAACACAAGGATTCTGGCTCCTGAAAGGTGCATTACAGCATTCCCCCTCGTTTTCCTTTGGTCCTTCCAGTGAAAACACAGCCACCACCAGGTGTCAAGAGCTTATGCTGGTCCTGGCAATGCTTGGGATAATTACACTTTGTTTCATAAAAAGACAAAGAGGATAAGCCTTGGTGTTATTCCTCTCCCAGTGTCACAGCATCCACACCTACTGCTTAGTTAAGTTTCTGCTGGACACAGGCCAGAAGTCTTATGTTTGTATGTATTCAGTGGAAAAGACTTGCCCATGGAAGAGGAACCGCCTCTTTCTTCAGACACTGAGCAAGGAGCTTGGTGAGAATGGTGTAATTATTCTTACTCTTGGGATTTTTTTACCCACCTTCGTAGCAAACTTTCTGTCAGACCCTATCTTGGATCAGTCTGCCTGACCTTTCACTATGAATTAAAAATGCTGATTCTTCACTACTCCCCTTTCACAGCACCCACCCCCAGCTGATCACATTTGGAGAAAGAGACAATAACTGGACCCCACCTAGAGTAGATATTGTAGTTGGTGCTCATTAAAAAGAGCCTCTAACCTGTGTGAGGATAAAGGCAAGCATGGATGTGTTAAAGATACATGTATTTAAGCAGGTTTTTTTATATCCTCTGTCTCTGAAGATCATCACGTATACAGAGGGGCTTTTCTTCCGGCCTCTGAATGCATGTGATTGCCACAACTATAGGAGTTTCGCATTTCATTCTGACTCAACAAAAGCCGTATGATTCAGCCTCCTTTTCCCCCACAATGCCCCCATTATATTCTAGGTGAGCTTGCTCCTCTAGAGACCAGTTTGTCATTTTTGCTCGAATGTATTCCATTTACATAACTCATAAGGCATTAGCAAAAATGTACCCCTCAAACCAGGGCACACTCCTGCATATATATCCGTATAAAGCTGTCACACCGAGCCTACAACAGCATAACAATGTACAGCGGAGAGATGACGCTGGTCCCGCAGTTTGTTTTTGTGATTAGCAGGCACGGCACAGACCCAATAGATATTAGCATGTCCGGGAAGCACTCACAATAAATTGCAGAGCTACTAATAATTTAGATATTTTTATGACTGTTCAGCGGTGGCTAATTTCGCCTAATAAAACCCCATTAAGTTGCTGCCTGGTCCTCTCCCTTCCTCCAAGTCCCCGAATGGGACTCATATGCTAATTGCAACCAGTCTATGCTAATTAGACCTCATTTCCATTTCTTAAAGAGATAAGCACTGCCTTGTGCCAACCCATCACTCAAACGTCCCACCTTTGCCGCAACCTTTCCGTCTGGCTCACGCAGAACCGCGATAAGCCGCCGCTTCCCGCCCCACAGGAACGGGGGGTCCCTCAGAAGGGGGCGGCCTGACCTGCCCTTCCCGCCTCTTGATTCGTCGCTCGGGGCATATACAAGGGTCTCAGTATGCGAGAGAGAAAGATAGCGAGGCAGGGCTGCGGCGGGCTCGAAGCCGGCAGCTCCCTTTCCCTCAGCGGAGGAGGAGCAGCCCCAGCCCACTCCTCCTGCTCCTCACGCCCTGGCATCGCTCCTTCCCGCCCGCCTGGCCGTCGCGGGCTCATTAGAGCTTCGGGGAAGCAATCAAGAGTTTATCACGCTTGAAGGGGCGGCGAGCATCCTTGCGCTGCCTAACGTGATTTCGCGGCACCGCAATGGAGTCAGAATTAGATCCGTATTAAAGCGGGGAGAGAGCGCAAGAGTGAGCGAGTCAGACAGACAGACAGACACGTTACTCGGCTCTGGAAGAGCACAAGGTGCTTTCTCAGCTGCCGGCTGCAGTACCACCATACGCTCTGCTCAAGGAAGGATGACCTTCAAATCCCTGGGATGAGGCTTGTCAGGGTTGGCCCAATACTTAAGAACTCAGGCAAATTCCATGCTCCGTGTCAAACCATCAGCCTTCCCTTGCGCGCTCAGGACCAGAATCTGAGCTCGTTGGCACCACCAGGGAAGAAATCATGCCTCAGAAGTTCAGAGGGCAGCTCCCGAGTTACACCAGTGCCAGTTCAGAGCACTGTCACCCGCACAGAGAGGCTCAACGGGGAGTTTGGGTGAGCAGTTCATCAGCACATACCTCTCCCTCTACAAGGCATCTCTTGAAATTATTTAGAAATGACATTTCCCCTCCACCCTTCCCAGGAAGCTAATTGTAACATTTTACTGTTTGAAAAAGACAATTGTGAAGTCAAAGGAGCTGGGAACATTAGCGATGCCATTGTTTGAAAAATAAGCAGTCTCGAAACATCATTTGCAAATCTATTCGTTATTCTGAAATGCTAAATGCAGTAAGAATGGGTTTAGCATCTGTCTGCTAACTAAATCCCTTATTATTACCCAGTGGAAGAAGAGCACCACAGACAGGCAGAGTGTTATTTCAGGAAACCTGAATGCTGCAGACGTGAAGGGCTCCCAAAACATGCAGAACCCTCAACCCCCCCACGACAGGGCTCTTCACATCTTTGCTTTGTGCTGCCTGACAAATGAGGGTCGAGTGGCTCCTTATTTTTGTGGGTAAAATGAATCCCCAGTGTTGTCTCTGGGAGCTCAGTGATGTTACACCAGGGATGAATTTGCCCACATATGCTTCACACTAATGCAATTCTCCCCATAACCAAAATCATTATCCGCCTGATTTCCCCTCCACCTTTCTTATCTCTCCGCTCTGTGTACACACACACACACACACACACGTACATGTACACGTATACACGTACACTCTCTTTTGCAGGCATGTCAGTCACACCTATCTATGCAAGAGGACTGAACTTCACTCCTCAGTGTCTCCAGAGAGGTCACAGACGGCAGACACTGATATGCGGCAGGTTCTTGGAATTCTCTGTCTGGGGCAATAGGACAAAAGGGCAGCATCCCCTTTGGTGGTGGTACCAGAGCAACCATCCGCCAAAGGTAACATTTAATCACAAGGTGTGGGGGAGAGGCAGAGTGGAGAACTGGCAGCTATCCAGTGTAAGATAGCCTGTAGCGGTATCAGCTGCACACTGATGCCGCGAGGGAGTGCCAGCAGCAGCAGCAGGAGCAGCACAGAGATGCTCCTGTAAGATGGAAGGAGAGGGAAAGGGCACACAAGGCGAAAATCCATCAATATGTAAAAATCATTGCAAAGGCTACTTGCTTTCAGTAAAATTAAACGGACTGGAGGGGGGGTTCCTGAGAGCTGATTTTTTTATTCCTTGCACATCTCTTTTTATACCTCTCCCTTCTGCTATACTGATTATTTAACTCTGTAGCTGCACTTTTACTTTAGGAAGAGCCCTGGGATAAGTCAGTTTGAACGAGGCCATACAAAATAAAATTTCATATCTTATTGCATTGCATTGTTGAGCATTTTAAAGAGGTAAATTAATCACTAAACTGATGTTTTGTGCTTTAAACTACCAGCTGTTCAGTGCTCTGAATAACAAGATTTATCCTTCAGGATTTTTTTGTAATTTTTTTTTCCCCCCACCTTTCATATAAGGACTTTATAGAGAAATAAGAACATCCTGGGGAGTGGAGGAGGGGATTAAGAGACAAAGAATCACACCATGCTTTGGTCTTCATCCACATCAGATGACTTGGTGACAGCCCTTTCTCTGTGGGCTTTACAGCTTAATTACCTGGATTGTGGGCTTTCCTATTTCCACTCCTTCCAATCACCCTTCGTCTTTATTAGTATTTAGATGGTGTTGTTTAGTGTGTTGAGTTTTCTCTTTACCCTGGCATCTGCAGTGTTAAATACACACACAAAAGGCCTTTGGTAAGCCCTCATCACTGTGATCTGTGCTGAAATCAAACAACACGAAGTCTTACCACAGCGGGGACCTTTTTTCATTACAGGTAGAAGTGAGGCAATAAAAAGAAATGTGTACATGTATATGTGTGTGTTTGCAAATGCCCACCAAGGTGTCCACAAGCCCCCTCCTTTTAAGAGAGTGTGTAGGGCTAATAAATGGTGTAAGGGAGGATGGTGGAGCAGTGATTCTGTGCATTCAAATGCTCGTCTTTTCCTTCAGCTATTCTGAGTCACTTCTCACTGAAGAACAGTTTTGAGCTCTGGGTTAAATGGCAGGAGCCATCTGATCCCTCCCCTTTCTGTACATCTGGCTGGTGCTAGCTCATCTGCAGCATGTTCTCAAAGCATCTGCATCATGCTCAGAAGAGTCAAGCTCAGGGTTTCTGCTGGGCAGCAATGCCAGCATGCTAACGTCAGTTCCCAACCCATTCAAATGAGGTGTCCAGGCCTGAGCTAGAGCACAGAGTATGACTGGGGTCTCCGCTCTCCACAGAGCAGACAGGATAGACAAACCCAGAATCCTCTTTGTCACTCCAGTACGGCTTCTTTAGCCATTCTGCCATTCTGCCTACACCAGTTTCTCTCTCCTTTGCTTCTGTGTTATACTGGAGAAAAAAGACTTCTGCAGAGAGTGGAACATGCGAGGGAAGAGAGCAGGTCTCTGCCCCTACACTGTAGCTAACACTTAGCATATTACACTGCAGTGCTTCAGTTTGGTCTCTCCTTTGTAAACTGAGATAGCATTGCCAGTCTATTGTTGTGAAGTGCAAGATATAGATGGAAAGTCCTCATACGCTTTCTAGGACTGGGCTGAATGTTCTGCTACATAACAGTTAGCCCCACACACGACCTGCATCCTGTATAACAGGTGAGAATGGAAGTTGAATGCTTACAGTGTGTCAAGTAACCAGTGCAAACACAGGAGATGGAAGCCTCTTGGTAAGGAGAAACATCACACAAGCTTTCTGAGCATATGTTTGGCAGTAGGTCCAGGTTTATCGCTAAGACGTTGCCTTCAGACACCAGTGAAAAGCCCCAAATCTCAGCCACCGCCTTTTGAATCTCCTTTTACCTAGAGCTACAGTCCTCCCCCTCCTCCAGCTGCAGAGAGATGGTAACTGCTTTAGTCCAGAGCCTGAGTGACCAGTGGGCACTCAGGACCACCTAAGGGCAACGCTACTTCCTCCCACCATTCCTCAAAGCATCTTGTAGCCAACAGCTACAGATGTTCTCTGCTTCTGTAGTATCTTCCCAAACATCCTTTCCCATATGCAGACACAGAAAACATCACATGCTAGTTTCTTGATGCCTGCATAGAGCATCCTTCTAGTCATCTTCTCAACCTTTTCTGTAGTTAGATCCAAAATGCCGTTTTCCCCTTTCTGTTCCCCTGAAAGGTCTCACAGGTTTCATTTTTGAACAGCACTTCACCATATAGCTATGTCAGTGCTATTAATTTTATTAAAAAATTCTAAATGAGAATGAGATGCACAGCCTGACATGAGCGTGTGTGTGAGCTTAGACAAGAGAAAATACCACTCCCCAAATGCTGGTAAAGCATTTGTTAAACTGTGTCTCTTGCAAACCAGGGCAGTAAAAGCAGCTCTTGGTGGCACATATAGGAAGGGGTGTGAGGGTAGGTAGGAGGAGAGCCTTGGGCATGACTGGAAAGAGCAATTTCAGTGATTCATGAGGACAGGATGTCATGAACTGTGTACTATAATGCAAGTCAGTAGGTTACTTGGTCACTTGAAAAGCATTGCAGGGAAGCTAGCTTTCATCATGGCATGCTCTGAATTTTAAGCAATCCCTCTGAAAATTACTTGAAGGCTCTCTAAAATGTTCAGACACAGAAAGCTTGGTGAAGTGAAGTGTGGAGATAATGCAGAAAGTTTGAAGATAACTTATTAATCTTGAAAATGTCTATGAGATGAGCTTGTTATCACTGTGCTTTTTAAACCTTTGATAAGGTAAATCAAAACATATCAGTTCAAAAATAGTTTGCCACACTGATAAAAAAAAATCTCATGACATTTCAGATGCCAAATCTTTTCCATTCTCTGTGTTAATAGCATGTCTGGATCAGTTTCACAGCCCTTTAGAAACACTATCTACAATTATGAACTTCAATCAAAGCAAGGAAGACAAACTTTAAAGAAAATTTACATCAATTTTCCTAACATTTGGAAAAACCACCCAAAGGTATGCATCCCAACATCCTATGGTTCCAACTGTAATTTTACCTCGGAGAAAGCAGTTTCATGCACTGGAACCACACGTGCACTATGAAGTGGTACTAAGTCTGGAATCAATGAGGCATTACATGAAATATCAAGGACCTAATTCTCCATTGTTTGCCTCTTGTACAGTCATTTACAATGCTGCAAGTCTCACTACATCATTCTCTGCATTCTTTATGCAGCTGTTCTGCATAAGAATAAATCTTAAATTTCTGTGAGTGTTGTGCATTGTGCAGCAGCAGAGCCTGTTGTGACATGTGAAGGCTAATGTACCAGCTTGTGAGCTAAAAAAGTGCTATGTTGCACTG